GAAGGTTTGCACACAAAGCAAAACAGACATTTTAGCTTTTTAAAAATATTAACATTTTCAATGTATATTTGTATTTGAGTCTTCTTATTAACTATTAGAACATGAAACATTAAACAATTATTCTGTACAATACAAAGCTTTCATATAACTGCAGGGAATAAGCTCTTTCATAAATTTATCAAATACAGTCTTAAAACTACCAAGGTTGTAATTTGTTTATTTCTCCTATGAACAGTTTATTCCAGATAAATAGATGTATACAACATATTTTATGTATGTTGTGTTCATCAGCCTTAGCAGCACCTCATTATTAACTTTTTTTGTTATTTTTATTATTTTATGTAGGCTTTGTTAGAATCCTCCAGTATGCTCAGTGCAACAGTGACATCAATGCTTCAGTGCTTTTCTAAATCAGGCTGTAACTCCTCAAAATAATCTGTTCTATGATAGTTAAATTTTAGTTTGTTTATTTTCTAAATTTAAACTCACTGTATATATTTTTAGGCAAGTTTTAGGGTTAAATTTTTCTGGTGAAATAAAAAAAAAAATTATATATTTCATGATGTTATACTTTTAAGTTTACATCCTTTCCTTAAATAATAAAAGGAAGAGAAGTACTGACTGTTAACTCTTTGCTCAGGAATGCATCTTCTTTTGGAATCTTCTCAATTTTTCCTGGTCCAACATTTTTACTGATACACTATCAAGAAAAAAAAAAAAAAAAAACTTATCAAATCAGATTCTCAGAAAAAATTGAACGGTATTTCTGTGGATAAAATATGTTCTTTAAATTTTATATTACACCATACCTGAAAAATCAGTATACTGATTTGAAATAGGCAGATCAAAGAACAGTATATTAACTTTAATGTTAAACAGCTTTGTTTTGCTATATACCACTTCCTCTTTAGTACTTGCAATTAAAAAGAAACCCAAGAACCAACCACCCCAAAGCCACAGAAAATTGTTCAGAAGCCCTTAAATCGATATACAACTTCCTACTGCTCACGATCTATTTGGACACCTATTTTATTTCCCAGCACTTTCACTTCAGGTTCTTGAAGTATTTAATTCTGTTAATGATCAGGAAGGGTTTTCAGATCAATGCCACTAATAATTCTCCATATAACATTTTCATTTCATCATTAGACAGAAATTGTTAGTTATTCCTACAGCCCTTTAAAATAGATTTAAACCCCCACTAGATTCCATAAAATCATAAAAATTTACATAGAACATCAGATCAATCTACATATATTCCAGCATTCTATCCCCAACGATGTCAATTAGTGGATGCCTAAATGAAAGAAAGAATGAGAAAAGCATATGTGATACTCCTTCCAGATACATTTCTAATCTTCAACTATTTTCAACTCAGAGACTGCCTAAACTAGAAATAGCAGCTGTATATTTGAGTAACTCTCAAGGTATTTCTCTCCCATATTCCTTTCCAGTCTTCCCTTGGGCTAGTACAGCTCCCTGCCATGATAGCTCTCTGCAGTGCTCTCTGCACCGCTCTCTCAACTGGCAACTTCCTGTCTTGACAAGAACTGTCCACTTACTCCTGCCCTCTATTTCCCCGTTTCTAAACAATCACATACCCATGAAAGGACCCAACCACTTTTCTTAGGGTGCCTAGCTGCTTCTCAACAGATTTTGGTGAAGTAATTCTTTGAAAGCCCTTGGGAAATTCAAGTAGACTATGTCACTTTGTTCACCCTTATCCACATTCGCTAGTCATATTAAAGAACTTTAGGAGGTTTCCAAAGTATCTGAAAGTACTTTTTTGGAAAGAATTCTTAGGAAAGTATTTTACAAAACACATTGACTCTTCCCAAATAGATCATATGTATCTGGGTGTCCTTTAATGCATTGAATTCCTTATAATTTCTAATAATGTACCTGGCTATTAGCCAATGTTATTAGGCATATTGGCCTGTAATTCCCAAAACATTTCGGGAACGTCTGTTTCTTACACTGGCACCACATTTATCATCTTCCAGTCTTCAAGTGCCAGGACAGCGCTAAACAGCAGGCTGTATGTGTGAATTCTCAATTCAGAGTTATTTCATCCTTAAGCTATTTCAGACTTCTTCAGTGAATACCATAAGACTCTGGCGGTTTCTTAGTGTTCATTTTGTCAGTTCATTCTATAGTCTTTTCTGCAGTTACTTTAGTTTTACACAGATCCTCCAACAAGTTATTCACAAAGAGATCGTGAAGCATTAAGATGCTTCCAAATTCTTACCCACATCCACTAACATAAAGCATCTCTGCTATGGCCTTGTCTGCTCTAAGTTCTCCTTTTATACCATAATCATCAATTTGCCTTATAGATTTTCTGGCAGGCTTTTTGTTTTTCAATTGTTTGAAAAAAGGATATTAATTTTGGGTCTTTCCTGATAGTTGATCTTCAAGTGTTTTTCACTTATCCTGCCAGATTTCATGATATTTTTTATCTGTTTTCTTCATCTGGACATAACTATAACTTTTTGAAGTCTGCCATCTTGTTTTCCTCAACCTACAGCTTAACCATGCTAATTTGCATTTTCTCTTTCTCAAACTTTTCTTAGTAAGTAGCATGCAATGGCCTTATATGGCTAATAATAATGTAAGTTTCAATAACCTCTACCCTCCTCCTCTAAGGATTTAATATTTTTAATGTCTTTTGTGCAAATTTTTATATAATGCTCTTTCTTATGATTGACCACAGTTGCAAAAGTTTTGACCTTTTCTTCTTTCATAGGAATCTTGACTAATTGCATTATGGTCACTTATACAGAATGGCTCTTCAACTATTAACTTTTTCAGTGAGACCCTGCAAATTTACCTGAACCAAAACAAAGGTTGTATCTTCTTGTGAGCTCCCTAACACATTGTTCCATGAAACACTCTTTGACACAACCAAAAAAATTGGGCTGTTATGTTTGGTCCTTAAGTAACATTTCATCAATCTATACAAGCAAGTCTCCTATTATATTAGTTGACTCCGACTATCAGTGTATAGTTCAACAGTGTTACCCAGACTATTTCTAGTCTTAATTTTAAAATGCTTGGAAAAACAAGGTATCTTCCTACAAAATAAAGGCTTAAAGACTTTGAGTATCTACTTACAGTACTGTGAATCCCATAACAATTCACCACAACTTTATTATGTAAAATTTCTACTTAAGTTAATGATAATACTGCAAAAGTTAGTTCTGCAAAATCAGGTCCAAGTAATGTATTTTGTTCAAAGGACAGAAGTCGTGGAGGATTTCAAAATAATTTTCTATGTCATATACTACAGAAAATAATTCAGGAAGACCTAGGAACTTCTACTTCAGTAAAATGTATAGTTTTTAAAACCTTAAAGATACCTTAAAAAAAAAAAAAAGAATCAAATTGCATACCTTTATTAATTCTTGAAGCGTGTGCATAGATACATCTACTGCAAGTATATAGTGAGACCTTGGCCTGTGGTCTGCTACATTTTGTAACACTCTGAAACATAGCAAGTACAGTCAGGGCCAGTAGTTAAAGAAGCATACTGGGCTTTCATTGTTAAATGCATTTCAGAAACAGCACAAAGAGTTTGTAAAATTTTGCAGAACTTTTCAGAGCATGGCATTTTCCTGCATCTTTTCCTTAATAAAGAAGCACAGCTAGATATTTTATTTGGAAAGAAGTTCAAAGGATGAAAAGCAACATCTTTAGAAGATACTAACTTAGCCTGCTGTACAGTCCACGATCCATTTCCAGTTCTGTGCCACTTAACTGGTATCACACTCTAGATCAGCATTGCTAGTAATTTCTTAAAAGCATAGCACCAACGCAACAGTCAGATAAGGTTTCCAGAAGACACATCTAATTCTAAAGAAACTTAAGTCTTTGTTTGACTTGGTGAGAAGGGCCAAAGAGAGTTCTTAAATCCATCCACCCCAATTGAAAAGCCTCAGTAATCTCTAGTAGATTTGGATTTGTCATCTAGCTAGGTATCAGTTATTGCCTAGGGAAATATTTTTACTTACGCTGCTAAATCAAGAACATGAATGGTTGGGATAAAATTGTTTCCATCTCCAAAAACAGGTATTGCAGGAGTCTCACTAAGCCAACCTATCTGAAAATACAAATAGAGAATGAAGTGAGGAGAAGAAGGTTACTTTTAACCAGAACTAAAAAAGGAACATTTGTTTACTAGGCAAATCTATATATTCAGGATTTAAAGTTCAGTTTCTTGAACTATTAATGGAGCTGCCATAAAGGAAACAATTCTTGAGAAATACTGACTGGCAGCCTACTAAACCCAAGAAACTTCTTTTTAAAAGAATATTCTTTGATCTTGACAAATGTTATATTGTATCCCAAATAAAAGAAATGCTTGGGAAAAAAAAGAATATAATGTTGAGAAGAAAGACATTTTTTCTCATTCCATTGATATGACAGACATGTTCTCATTGTAAAGTACATATGGAGATACTGTTCAAAAACTATGGAAAAAACTAAAAAATATATAGAGCCCAAAAAAGTAGAAAACACTTCCACTGTAGCTAAAACATTTCAAAGGGATCAAATAATCAGTTTTGTTCACAAAAGCATTAAGCTTATGATACCAAAGCTACTAAAAATGCATTCAATTCCAGTGCAGTTTGCCCATAGAAATTAAATGAACCTTCAAAAATAGTTGGATGTCTACCTTAAAAAAGTAGTGCAAGACTTCTTCCCCAGCTCCATATTGATGTCCTGAGGCAACAACATAAGTTGAAAATTTATGTTTGTTCTGTGGAGTAAAATCAACAAGAAAGTTTTTATAAAAATATGGTACTGCAAATGGGATACTGGCTTACCCTGAAACGTGAGTACTTGTGTACTAAATATACAAAGTGTGTAAATTATATCACTTAAAACTTGCAGCTAGATCAATTGTTGCATATCCTGTGGTTTCATAAGTCATATTGCTAATATTTCCTTCAAAAAAAGCATTGCTCAATCAGAATTGACCTGTCTACATTTGAACTGAAATCCTAAAAAAAAATTTAAGAGTTAACAACATTGAAAGTTATGTAAATCAATGAAGACAACAGGATAACTCATGTTTCTACTTTCTATTTCCAAGAAAAATAACTCTGAAATTCATTGAAGCTACTTTTTAAATTGTATTATATTTGCATTTGACTGCCTAAAGAAGTTGAAAATGCTGGACTAATGATTTTACAATTGCTTTACTTTCATTTTGATATACAATTAAAAAAAAATTATCTGTGAACTATCTAAGTGTTTTCCTAACCACACTTCATGATCAACCCACATATTTTTTGCTGACCATTATTGCATAATGTCATAAATTTGCCTGTCCTGGCTGCCTGTTTATGTATAATGTTACTGTCTGGATCAGTATTGAGGATGGTTATACGGGGGGGGGGGGAATCAGTGATGAGGATGGTTATGCGGGGGGGGGGGGGAAATTTAAATCATCTTAAGGAGTAAAACTTTCAACAAAATCTTTTAAATTAGGACCAGTCACTTTGAAATTTTTAAGGTGAAACAAAATTATTAAATAATTCTCATATTGTAAAGATCCTAGACATAATATATCTACATAACACTGTGTAAAAGAACCTGCATTTACCAGCAGAGGGAATAAATGCCCGGATTTGGGATCTACTTTTTTTGAGAAAAAATGCATCTTTATAATATTTCAGAAACATAAACTGAGAAGACTGTTAGCCAATCTTTGATTGTATAAGCAAAGCATCGTATAAAGGGATGACAAGTTATAACATCAGTGTATTGTATTTGTGCGTGTGCTTTTATCTACTTACAAAATAAATCTTTGTAATAAAAACCATCTCAACTCAGTTGAATGCAACAGCTTGTTAGTAATCACAAGAAACATTAAAATTAGAAGACATTACAGATAGCATAAGAGCTCCAACACTCAGTTTGCTTGGGTAGTACTATGATAGAAACTCTTTGTATCCTAAGCTCCCAGCAGCTCCCAGGATTGCTCTGGATGGACTGCAAACATTTCCCAGAAGAAGATATGCTGTAATTTCCGTCTCCCAGCAGGAAAACTCTGCCTCTTGTGAAAGCACAGGAGGTGCTATTTCTCATCTCCCCTAAGAAGAATGTAACACACAGGATTTTCTTCCTTTTACCTTGCAGTAGCTTCTGCAGTAGCCCTTTATGGAGACAAACCACAGTTTGGCACAGAGTGCTATACTTCGCTGAAATACAAACGTCTGAAACAGATTCAAGTCCTCCAAAAATATCTATTTAGTGTCACAAGTCACACATATGAGAAGGTACTACTTGAGATGACTTGGATATTCTTAATTTAAAAAATAAGGCAATTATTAGGCAAGCTCCAGGTACAGACAGCATGTTTGGTTACAGGTAAAGACCTGCAAGTTCCTGTGTAATATTGATTAAAGCCACTAGATGTCACATTCTAACTATTATAATGAGTTCTAGGCTTTGGTTGTTTTACGTTTGTTTGTTTTATTCTAATAAGATGCTTGAAGTAGGAAACAGGTCTAAATTAATGGATTCAGGAACTGTGATGCCACTGAGAATGGAGTTGGGAGGTGAAGAGCTCTTCCATCTGTGGTAGGCAGGTGTTTCTCCAAGGATTCTGAATTTGGCAGGACCCCAGAGTCAGCAACTTCCGAGAAAATCTACACAGCCTGAATGCCCTGCCACAAAGGTAAAGGTAAAAAATTGCTGGTGGTAAAAAGCAAAGACTTCTAGCTCATAACTCTTGCTGAATTTTAAGTAAAATACAGGTGGGAGATGCAGTAACTCAGAGGGGTGAAATCTTGCTTTAAGTGACAACAGCCATTAAATTACACTCTGAACCGATACCAAGGCTAAGAAACCATTCTATTCTTGGTGCAAGATCTTCTCTACATGACTGACATGGCTGCTGAATCCTAGTATTTTCTGCTGAGCG